GTGGTGTAATTGTGAATGGGATCATTTTCTTAATTTTTCCTCTTTTAGTTCATTGTTTATATATAGGAAGGTCACTGATATTTGTTTGTTACTTTTATAACCTGCCACTTTGCTGGACTTATTTATTGTTTCAATTGTTTTTTTTTTCAGTGGGGTCTTTAGGGTCTACAAATAATGATATCTTTATTTCTCCTTTCTGAGTTTCAATTCCTTTTATATTCTTTTCTTACCTAATTACTCTAGCTAAGACTTAATACTATGTGGAACATTAATGGTGAGAATGGAAAATCTTGTCTTGTACTACATTGTAGTAGAAAATCTTCCAGTTTTTCACTGTTGAGAATGGTGTTATCTGTGGGTTTGTCATGATGGCTTTTATTGTGTTATGTTATGTTCCATTTGTCCAGTTTTTCAAATGTTTTCATCATAAATGGATGTTGAATCTTATCAAATGCTTTCTTGGAATCTACTGATACAGTCATATGGTTTTTATCTTTCATTTTGTTGATGTGGTAACTTACACTGTGTCACTTGTATAAATTCTACTTGGTGGTGGTGTATAATCCTTTTAATTCATTGATTTGGTTTGCTAAGATTTTGCTATGGATTTTTACATTTGTGTTCATTTGGGAAATCATTCTATATCTTTCTTAGTGTTGTCTTTGTTTGATTTTGTTCTTAATATAATGTTGGCCCATAAAACGTATTTGGGAGTACTCCCCCTTTCTCAGTTTTTTGGAAGAGTTTAGACAGGATAGGTATTAGTTCACCATTGAAAGATTGGTAGAATTCACTTGTAATCTGTGTGCTCCTGGATTTTCAGTTTTTTTGGGGGTTTTGATTATTGTTGCAAATTCTTTGCTTATAATTTATCTGTACAGATTTTCTATTTTTCCCCATTTAGTTTTAGATGATTGCATAATTCTAAGACTGCTTCCATTGCTTCTAGGTTTTGAAATTGTTAGCATACAGTTGTTTATATTACTTATCCTATGAATTTCTGCAGTGTCTGTTGTAACTTCTCTTTTATTTCTAATCCTATTTTTGAGTGTTCTGTCTTATTTTCTCAGTGAACTTACCTAAAAATTTGTCTGTTGATTTTTTTCAAAGAACAAACTTTTTATTTCTTTAATAATTTAGACTATTTTTTTATTTTATTTACTTCTGCTCAAATATTCTTTTTTTTTTTACTGATTCTTGGTTTTGTTGTTCTTCTTTTTCTAGTTCCTCAAGGTAAGCATAAGATTATTTATTTGAGCTCTTTCTTGTTTCTTGATATGGGCCTACAATGATACATACTTCTTAGTACTACTTGTGTTGTGTTCCACAGTTTCTGGAAGATTGTGTTCTCATTGTCATTTGTTTCAAGGTATTTTTTTAATTTCTTTTTTGATTTCCTCATTAATCCAGTAGTCTTTCAGTAGTGCGTTGTTCAGTCCCCACATATTAGAGATTTTCCCTGCTTTATTTTTGTAGTTTATTTCTGGTTTGATACTTTTTTTGTCAGTAAAGGTGCTTGATATAAATTCAATCTTCATGATTTACTGATACTTGTCTTATGACCAAATAATATGGTCAGTCCTTGAGAATGTGCCATGTGCACAGGAGAATAATGTGTATTAAGCTAAAAAAATTTCTAACATTTTTCAGTTCCATTAGTCTTCAACAAGAGTCAATCATTCATGAACCACAATTACAGGGAACATATTAATACTAAAGAGTTGAGTGAAAGAACTCTCTCTCTGCCATCCTTTGTCTATAGGATCTGCACTATAGGATCTACACTTTGACTACAGATGGATCCAATTCAATGTAATCCATATAAGTGGAATTACTGAATCTAAGCTTCACAGGGCCATATTCAATTTTCAGCAGTACTTCAACTTTATCTTCATAAAAAGTTGGAAAAAGAACAGAAAAATAATCTGTAAAAAATGTTTTCAGTCTTTACCAAAGCTAAATAGGAATTGCATACTGAAATATGTGTAATAAAATAGAAAGTAATATATTAGTTACCCAACCCTATTTTCTAAAAAAAAAAAAAAGAATATCTAGTCAGGTCAGACATATATTTGTTGTACTAAGTTAGTGAAAGCTATCTTAACATAACCGTTGCCAATGGACAAGACTCTTAATCCTGTGATATTGTTTCTATCTCTGATAATTGTACCTAATTCCATTCCAAATGCGATTATTTTTGTTTAAATTTTACATCTTAGACTATTGAAAATACTGTTATTATTCTAACTTAAATTTTATAATTCAGACTACTGAAAATAGCCACTAATAGCCTTCTCTTTAAATCCTTCTCTATGGCATTTTTTATGTTGTATGATTTATAGACTTTATGAAGAACTTTGAACATATATTTTTATTTGGTCTACCCTATGAGGGAAACTACCAAATTTTATGCATGATGATGTCTCTCAAAATTTTCATATTTATTAATAATACACAGCTTGAAAGGGAAAGAGTTGGAACTTGAATCAAAGTCTTTCTACCTCAAAGCTAGTCCACTTTTTATTATATCACCAATATGTCCCCAGTGGCAAACTTATTAATTCATTTTTGATCAAGGACTTCCCACATAATTATTCAGCTTCAAGCAGGAATGATCGATAAGCTATGGTGTCAGCCTAACTATGTATGAGTCCTGACCCCCACCACATGATAGCAGTGTAAGCCTTTTCAAGTAATTTTATCTTCTCTGAACTTGTTTCCTAATCTTAACAATAAGGGAATCTATAACACATTCTTCATCTGATCATTGTGAAAAGAAAATTTAATCAATATGCCAATCTATCTTGCACAAAACTTACAGCATTAACCTCTTAAAGCATATGTCTCAGCATTTTTCTACTCAATAAACTTCATGCACTCGCTATCTTTTACCATATAGAGTCCAGATTTTTAACTTATCATTCAATGACCTCATGTTCTGACCTCAATATATCTTTTTGACCTTATATTGTAGTACATCTAAATCCATGTCTTCCATGCTATATAAAGCAAATTACTAACTAATCATGAAATCCAAGGTGTACATTCTCTGAATGAAATAAGTCAGATGCAGAAAGACAAGTACTGGGTTGTGTCACTTAAATGTAGACTAAACAAAATGAGGGGTCAAATAAAGTCAAACCAATAACAAAACCTAGAAATATAATTGTAAAGCTGAGGCTACCAAAGTTAGAGGAGGAAAAAAAACATTAAAGTGAGGAAGAAGTACAAACGATTATGGGTGTCTTGGTGATACCCTTGGTGGAGGACACTGGGTGCCTCAGTGGTAGGTGTGGCATGGTGGCATATACCTGAAGGGTATATACCTTTAAATCTTATACCTTTAAATCATATACAATAGTATAAACCAAAGTTACCTCAATTAAAAGAAATAAAGGAAGTAAATATGTTTAGGAAAAAACAAAATTTCTCAAATCTGTGACATTGTTCATGTAATTCTCTCTTCTGAGGATGGGATCTCCAAATAGTACTACATATGGAAATTCTGCTCACTCTTCAAAGGACAAGTCAACTCCCACCACTTCCTCAATCAAGATTTCTTTGATCTTAGAGATGAAATTAATTTCTTTCTTCTTTTGATCCCAAAACACATTGCTTTCCTTTTATGGACATAAAACACTTTGCTTCATATTATGTTTAATGTGTTTGCCTCTTTCCCCTATTGGACAATAAGTACATATAAGAAATGTGACAATGTATTATTCACTTTAATATTTCTCATAGTGCCTGATGTGAATATTTAATGTTTATGAATATTAATTACTACTAAAAACTAACAATTACAATCTGTTAAGTATTTGCCAATGTTACTCAACAATGGTAAGTGCTTTATATATAGGACATACTGTACTTTTACTATAATCCTGTGAGAAATGGATAATGAGGCAAGGGATCCAAAAGCAAAAATAAGCAAGTTGGACTATATTAAACTAAAATACTTCTAAATGGCGAAGAGACTATCATCAAAATGAAAAGATTCCCTTCTGAATGGGAGAAAATATTTGCATATCATACATCTGACAAGGGGCTAATGTCCAAGATCTACAAAGAACTTATATAACTCAACAAAATGAAAACAAATAACCTAATCAAAAAGAGAGCAGATGAGTTAAATAGACTCTACTCCAAAGAGGACATAAATATGGCCAACAAACAAATGAAAATATGTTCGCCATCATGTGCTAATGTGAAAATGTATATCAAAACCACAATAAGCTATTTCCTTACAATTATAAGAATGGCCCGTATAAAACAAAAAACAAACAAACAAAAAACAGAAACAACAGTGTTGGCCAAGATGTGGAGGAAAATAATCAATTGCATATTGTCAATGAAAATGTAGACCCATCTAAACCTATGAAAAACAGTATGGAGGTTCCTCAAAATATTAAAATTACATGTAAAATGCTATCTCAATAAATTAAAAAATGTGCCAGAACAGAAACATGGAAATGAATCTCCATGATGAGGAAACTCAGCAAAGTTCATGACTGAAACATACAAAATTATTGTTATTTCACCAACTTTGATGCATAAAAATGATCATTTCAAATTATTTAACTGTATAAAAGGGGTCTTCCAGGTGGTGAAGTGGGTTGGCGCAGCACTGTGAAGCTATCCGCAGCCTCTGCAGTAAGGGTTAGATCCTGGCGGATACCCACATGGCGCAGCAGACCTCTCCTGTCTTGCCCACTGCTGCCCTCAGCAGTGTATTTCAGTCAGCCTGCCTATTCTGTTCCCCGCTCTGTCTCTGGTGAATCCTCTCACCCTCCCGCACATCTGGCCTGTACCCCGGTTCTTGCATAAATAAATAAAATCTTTAAAAAAAATAAAAAATAAAAATGTAACAAAACACAAGTGCCAAAAATATAGCTCCTCAATATTTTGTTGTGAATTTAATGTGGGTACCTATTTAGTGATGTAAGAAGAGCTTAAGGGTGTTATTTCAGGTTAATAAGGAATCAAGTCATTGATCTTACCTGATCATGTGTATGACTTGAATGATGATGGCACAGTTCATTCCCAATATTTGTAGAAATTGAATCACTTCCCAGGATGCTTTGGATTTGATGGCTAGATTGAGATTGTTGGCAGGATGGAGTATGGATGATCTGAGGTTGTTGGACAACGTAATGATGGCATTGAACCTGAGGACAGCATTCCTAAAATGCATACACATGCCAAAACAGTCACTGAGAAAACAAATAATTACCAAGAAAAACCCAACTGAATCCATTTTTAAAAATGAAAGTTCTTTTACAAGCTAATTCAACTCAAGGATTTGTAGTTTTAATTGTTTGTAGTTATTAAGTATTCCATTAGGAGAAATTTTATTGGATTCTTTTTTTTTTTAATCAGGTAAATATAACAATACAACTACTTACTTAGATTAACCAAGGAATTGCATGTTCTGATTAAAGGAATAGTCCATTATAACTAACATTGACAGTAATGCATTTTAATATTAATTAGTCTTTCTTTGATGATTTAACAAACATTTTAGGATCTAATTACACAATAATACTATAATACTGAAGATGCAGACATATGAAATTTGAAAATAATATAATGTGATTTTCAATGTCAGGAAGCATATTAGAATCACAATGAGGGGCAATTAGAATCACAGTTCTAAAGCTTATGAAAATTGAACATGAATTAAGAAAAAAGATTGAAAAACTGTGACTCAAGCTTCCAATCCAGAAAACATGGATACTAACTCTAATTATACCACTTACTCTGTGATCTTGGAAAACTGTATATGTAACCCTTTTAAGTCTGAGTTCCCTCACTAATAAAAGTGAAGGTCATATGTGTCTCTTTGGACTCCTGTGAGGAATGAATAAACTAATGTTTGTGAAGTATCTAACATAAATTGTTGGATAATAAGCACCTTTTATTATTTCATCATCATTGTCATTTCAAAATGATCATCATCGACCCCCTTCCAATAACTTTCAGGTGGAAAAAATACCCTGAGATCCAAAGAAATGAAATAATTTACTTGTAATGAGGCATCTAACAGATGTCAAAATTGGGATTGGAAGTCATGGTTTATAGCTCAGAGTTCTGTCAGAATATTAAGCTAAATTTGTACTGTCCTCAAAATATTCTGAGACTTGGTTTTAAACTAAATCTTTGCTAATTGTTTATTTGTGATGGTTTTTAAATTAATAAGTATAGTGAACAGAATGTAAAAAGATATCTGGTATTTCAGTTTTCAGGATTTCAGATATACTTGAATTTCTTATTATCTTATTATTCTACTTTGATAATAGGTATATGACAGTCTGCTTTCAAAGGAAAAAAAAAACAATTTTGAATCAGAATGCTACATTCATACATATAAAATTAACTTTGTGTAAATTCAATTTTTCTTTCCTTTTAACTGGATGGCTGACATATTAATAGAGAAAACACTTCAAATTTAATTTTTTATATGGAACTATTTACAAACTAAACAAAAGAAGCCACATACATAAGAAGGAATATAGTATGCTTCCTCTTGCATAGCATTTTAAAAATGTATATACAAATTATGAAACTGTTTAAATGCATAGAACAGAAAAATAGTGAGTGCCTCTGAGAGGAAGAACAGAGGAGTCAGGATAAAGAGGGTTTTTTCTCACTACATGCATTTTTATTCTATTTCTAACATTTTTAAATATTTTTATGCCTTGAAAAATTTTACCATGTATAACAAAGTATTGTTTCATGTATAAAAATATTTTGAAAGAGAGAATAATATATAGATACATTTTACAAATAGAAACTGACTTGACAGACATATACATAATAAAGATCATAGATATAGCTCATGGAATCATTTACTCTAGATTCTTTCAAATGTGACTCACTTTACAAACACAGTAGCACTAAAATCCGTGCAACTTAAGAGACATGTAAAGAAAAATTGAAGAAACAGAGAAACAAGTTAAAGCCATCTAAATAAAAAGGCATATAGAATACATGGAAAGAGTAACAATAGAAAGATAAAACAGTAAGCAAAAGATACAATGGCAATGATTTAGCCTCATATATCAATACTCATCCTGAAGTGAACAATCTGTACTCACCAATCAAAAGCCAGAGAGTGGGAAGATGTATAAAAAAAAAAGATCCATCTATATTATACAGGAATCTCATATCACATCTAAAGACTACCATAAATTTATGGCAAAAGGCTAGAGCAAGGCATTTTAAGTCAATCACAAAGAGAAAAATACAGGACCTGCTCTTATGTCCAATTATACTTTTCGTTAAAAATGATAATAAGTGACAAAGATGAATATACTATATAATGATCAGTGGGACAATCCAACAAGAAGACATAACTGTCATTAATATTTACACATCCAACAGAGACACACTAAATATGTAAAATAATTACTAACTGACCTAGAACAAAACATAGAGACCAACATAATACTACATCTCAACTCACCACTTATATAAATAGATGGATTATCCAGTTAGAAAGTAAACAATGAAGTAATTGATCAGAAGGACTTAACAGTTATTTACAGAACTTTCCATCCCAAAAGAAATGAATACCATTAGTCTCAAATGCACACAGAACATTCTCAACAGATCATATGTTGGAATATAAAACAAATCTCAATAAATATGTGAAGATTAAAGTCAAATCAAGTATATTTTCTTTTTTTTTTTTAAAGATTTATTTTTATTTATTTATTTATTTTTTTGTTTTATTTATTTATTTATTTATACAAGCACTGGGTACAGTCAGAAGCGCGGGAGGGTGAGAGAATTCACCAGAGACAGAGCGGGGAGCAGAGCAGGCAGAAGGACCGAAGTACACTGCTGAGGGGAGCAGCGGGCGGCAGGAGAGGTCTGCGCGCCATGTGGGACCCTCCTCTGGTGGCCGGGGAGCAGCCGGGGATCGAACCGGTGCTGCAGAGGCCGCAGGCAGCTTCGCAACCCAGCGCTCAACCGCTGAGCCACAGGGGAGGCCCCTCAAGTATATTTTCTTATCACAATGGTATGGAACTAGAAATCATCCTCAAAAGGAAAACTGGAAAAATCCAAACATGTGGAGACTAAACAGAATTTTCTGAAAAATTCTTGGGTGAACTAAGAATCAAAAGAGAAAAAAAAATCTTGCTATGAAAAAAAATGAAGGGGTGAACTATCATTTCCTGTGTGATGCACTAAAAGCAGTCTTATGAGGGAAATTCATAGCAATACAGCCCCATATCCACAAACAAGAAGTCTCAAACAATCTGACCTTAGATCTGAACGATTGAAAATGAAACCAAAAGTCAGAAGGAAGAAAATACTAAAAATTAGAAATAAATGAAGTAGAAACCAAAAATATGGTACAAAAGAACAATGAAAATGAGAACTATAACTTTTTTTGAAAGAATAAACAAAATTGATAAACCCATAAAATACATCATGGAATATATAGATGATACATTCCTAGACATCAACCTTAGATAATTATTTGGGAACTCAACTGCATTGTCAAGGGAAACAAAAGCAGATATAAACAAATGGGACTACATCAAACTACAAGGTATTTGTATAGTGAAAGAAACCACCACAAAGACAAAAAGGCAACTTATGGACTAGAAGGTATTTATGCAATACTTAATCAACAAAGGGTTAATTTCTAAAATATATAAATAACCTATACAACTCAACAACAAAACAAACAACCCAATTAAAAATGGGCTAAAGAACTAAATAGATACTTTTCCAGAGAAGAAATACAGATGGCTCACATGAGCATTAAAAAATGCTTAACCATACTTATCATAAAGAAAATGCAAATCAAAATCAAAATTAGATATTACCTCAGACCATTAAGAATGGACTACATCAAAAAGACTGGAAACAAGTGTTGGCAAGGGTGTAGTAAAAAAGGAACTCTCATTTTCTGTTGGTTGGAACAGAATGGAAACAGTATGGCGATACCTTAAAAAAAAAAAACTAAAAAATACCATATGGTCCAGTGACACCACTCTTAGGTATTTATCAGAAGATCATAAAAATACTAATACGAAACGATATATGCACCCTATGTTCATAGTAGCATTATTCACAATAGCTAAGACAGGGAATAAACTTAAATATTCATCAAAGGATGACTGAATAAAGAAGTTGTTGTATATAGACTCAATGGAACACTACTCAACTATTTTAAATGATGAAATAGTGCCTTTAGAGAGAATGTGGACAGAACTTGAGATAATGCCTGAGATTATCCCAAAGTGAGATAGGCATGGAAGAGTTTCTTTCTTAGAGGCTTCAGAGGAATGTGGCCTTGCCAACAGTGATTTCATAACTCTGATCTCCATAACTGTGAGACAATTATTTTAAGTCACCCGTATTAGGGTACTTTGTTACAGCAGTACTAAGAAACGAATAATATCCTCATTCAAGCAATTGTATGGGGAATATAAAAATAAAATTAAAAAAAGGAAATAATAAAATATTTCATTCACATTAAAAAAAAATGTCCAAGAGACAAGTCCCAGACTAGACTAGACATGCTGTATCCACTGAGCAGATAAAGGTGAAACTTCTGTTAATTACCATGACAATCCTGCTTGAAGGACTTGCAACTCCAGAGGTCATGGAATGACTATTGTAGTTCTGCAGTATTGAACTTTGTACTTGATCTCCCAAATAAATTTAATGGAATTTAAAAACCTGACTGGAAGAATAATTTTCTAGATCTTCGCAGTATACTTTACATACCAGTTCAAACAATTCTTTCCTTAAAAATTCTTTAATCCCGCAAGAAAAATAAACAAAATTAAAAACTTCATTTGATACTAAATAAAGACAAAATTGTAAGTTATAAATTATTTTTATGAGATCAATTTAAAAGAAAGAATGCAATGCATTGGTCTATCTAAAGCAAGTTCAGATTCTACCATTAATTTTCTATGTGACTTGACAATTTCCTGTCCAGTAAAACAGTAAAACTTCATGTGAATAACTAGATATAAAAGTGTTAAGAGGGCCTCCCCGGTGGCGCAGCGGTTGAGCGCTGGGTTGCGAAGCTGCCCGCAGCCTCTGCAGCGCCGGTTCGATCCCCGGCTGCTCCCCGGCCACCAGAGGAGGGTCCCACATGGCGCGCAGACCTCTCCTGCCGCCCGCTGCTCCCCTCAGCAGTGTACTTCGGTCCTTCTGCCTGCTCTGCTCCCCGCTCTGGCTCTGGTGAATTCTCTCGCCCTCCCGCACTTCTGACTGTACCCAGTGCTTGTATAAATAAATTAAAAAAAAAAAAAATCTTAAAAAAAAAAAAAAAGTGTTAAGAATGACATGAAGGGCTGTGGGCATAGTAAGTTATTACTGACTCACCATGTTCTTGCCTTACACTTGACAATTGAATACTAGTTAGCTCTATAGAAATATTCATAATTCCTAAGTATGCACTTACAAAAATAAACAATTTTATCAACAAAACAGTTTTTACTTACATGATCAATATTTAACTTCTCCACTTTTCTTATTGTTTTTTCGTAAATAACATTGTTTCCTGGGAAGAAGCGGTTTCCTCTTAGGAATGGAGAGAGTGGTTCCTATAAAGATAGTAAAGACTGTGTTTTTTTTGAAAGGTACCTTTACAGCAACTGTAACTTAAGCAGTTATGCACTCCAGTATGTTCTGAGGTTCTAATAGACTCTCAGTCAGGCTTTAGTAGGAGAGTGGAATGACATCCTAATAAGGTTCTGATAAATGTAAGGAAATAGTAATCGAGTACATTTTCTCACACAGAAAAATCTGGATCTTTCCTACCACATTTTACTGTGGCTAACAAAATCTGGGCAATTTGGAAGAGGGTGGGAAGGCACTTTTCCTTTCCTGTTCTTAAGAAAAAATAAGTGAGTTTCCTTTGAGGCAGACAGGCATGACATCAGTCTCATTTAAATTGGGTTCACTGGCAGTTTTCTTTCTATGCAAAGTATTATCAGAGAAATGTAAAATAAACATAATTCAGCACTTCTTAGCTGTAAAGTACGCAGTACTATATTAAAGATTTTTTTCCTGGAACTCAATTTGGGTGCTTTTCAAGTATATGATTTTTACTTCTGATTATAGTAAAAGCTAAGCCTCTCAGTACAGCATGTGTTTTGAATACTGAGAACAGAGTAAAGACTTTAAGAGACATTATATCTCCATATAATCAAACAAATTAATGTAGGGCTATCCAAGTGCTTAGAAGATGTCAGCCAATGTCATGTCCTATATCTGAAAGAACCTAGAAAAGACTAACAAGAATCAGATCAGGAATCTAAAATAAATGTAATATGTACTATATTCCTTTCCCTTCTTTTTGGTTTTTGTATGAATATTTACTTGCAGAGGAGGAGTTGAGATTCTTTTGTTACAAACCAAAAATTGCATTCATTCTTTTTTGTGTATAAGAGAATAAAATATAGGAAGGGTGTGTTTAAGTCTGTCACTGATGTGTTTAGGACCATTTCAAAATGAACAAAATGTGCTGACATTTTTTTGTAGTCTCCTGTTGTTAAAAACTCTTTGAATAACTGAACTAAAACAGGTTGTTTAGAAGGCAAGATACGCTTGATCACAAAGCTATATTCTTCAGGTATTCAAGTTTAAATAAAGTATATTTTAAAAATTTGTTAAAAATATCAGTGATTAAATTTTACTAGCTGATGAATTATTGAATCTAAAGATGGATCTGTTTAGAGAGATTCCCCGATGAGCTACTTTGTGTTTGATTTTGTAAAAAAGCCTGTTTGATAGTTATTTGCAATCACATGTTTAAGAGTTTATTATGTATATTATACTATGATAAATGTTGAGACATGAATCAAATTTAAATTATTACCAGGAGCATTGACTGTTGATCAGGGTTCCTCGGACCATAGACAGCTATCTAGTTTTGCAATGTCCTCAAGCTAAGAATGGTATGTAGATTTTTAAAGGATTGTAAATAGAAGGGAAAAAAACAGCAAAGCTTAAAATATTTACTATATAACCCTTTAAAAGAACATCTGTTTTACTGCTATATAATCACAAACATCTATTAACACAAGGTAGAAAGTAACAAGTACCCATAAGAGGTATAGAAAAATAACTGGATGGAAATGAGAAGTGGAAAATATGAGTTTCATCTGACGATGTTCAAGTAGGTTACTTTAATCAGGTGGCATTTGAGAGAAGATTAAGATGTTTTTGGATATGAGGTGAAGGGAGAAAATGTTATTACAAGTGAAAAAACAAAGTAAGGTAAGACACCAAAGTTGGAAAAGTGTTATATGTAAAGGACATACTTGGCAGATGGACTTTGGTTCTGAGAAATCTTTGAATGCTTTTTAACAGATGTGCTAAGTGAAAAGAAGTCTACATCAAGAAGACTAATTGGAGAATATAAAGAGTACAAGGGAAGATACCAATTAAGTTAGTTTATAATCACCAAGGACAGTACTTTACAAAGATGACTCTGATCTTGAACCATTGGTGTCCAAATCAAAAATAGAAGTTAAATTATGTGTTCCTGATAACATTCTAGATCTGGTTCATGTTTTTTATTCCTTATAACAATTATGAAAATATGTAGTGCATAGTAATTCCTTAAACATGTGTTATGTGGTTGCAAAAAATCTACCAGAGACTCAAAAAAATGTCGAGGTGAGCATTCAGGTATAGATTTCCAGCACACACCTGAAAATACATATCTGGAACTGAGTGAGATTTCATGGCTACCATTCCAGATCTCAAATCATATACTTACAAGTGTTAGTTAAAATCATGCAATTGTGGAAATAAAAGTGAAGAAAAAAGACAAGAGTAAACAAGCCTTAAGAAGTATGAGAATCTGGGCCTCCCCGGTTGAGCGCTGGGTTGCGAAGCTGCCTGCAGCCTCAGCAGTGCAGGTTCGATCCCCGGCTGCTCCCTGGCCACCGGAGGAGGGTCCCACATGGCGCGCAGTCCTCTCCTGCCACCTGCTGCTCCCCTCAGCAGTGTACTTCAGTCCTTCTGCCTGCTCTGCTCCCCGCTCTGGCTCTGGTGAATTCTCTCACCCTCCTGTGCTTCTGACCATACCCAGTGCTTATACAAATAAATAAATCTTAAAAAAAAAAAGTATGAGAATCAGAAGAGAAAAATATATCATAAAATCAAGAGGAGAAATTTTCAGGAAGCATTAAGAAATGAAAGCTTCAGGGAAATCAACAGGTGAGAATTACAGTATGGATTGTATTTGGAATGCTACAAATACATTGGGTTTGATGACTAAAATTAGGGGAAGCAGATGTAATGGTAAAAATTTCCATAGTCATAAAATCTGTATTTCATTTCTGCCTTCATCACCTAGTTGCTATGGAAACTTAGGTAGTCATTTTACCTTCTCTGACACTCTTTCCTTATCATAGTGGTAGTATTGCAAAGTATTTTATATCAAGCAAAATAATGTATTTTAATGTACTTTTAATCTGTAGTTTTAATATGCAAAAACATTTTTTAATTTAATAATATAACATTGAGAATCCATACTGCATTTGAAATAATTTATGAGATTCTTGTTAGAAGTTTTATCGGATATTAAGGTAAAAATACACAAAAATAGGCCTATTGAGGGCAGGGATTTTATCCATTATGAATGAATACATGATTGAGTGAGAAAGGATGATATGAACTTTTAAGGATATAAGTATCTTCTAGGGGGGAAAACTGTATATTAACAGTGTTGATTCTATCTAAAATATGTGTTGGACTTATGTTTTTAAAAGACTACTGAAAAAAAAAAAGCTTTCAAATTTAGGGAATTATTGTTTTCCTAAAATCTGTGAGAAAGTCAAAACTACCATGAATAATTCATTTGAGTAAAACAGGTCATCAAAATAAATTTAATCGTAAATCTTAGATATCTCAACAGATGAGGTGCTATACAGTTTTACTGTTTTGGCAGTTTACTTTTTTCAGTCTGTACATTTGAATTGGTGCCAGATCCACCCTGAAAATTAACAGGTGTTTTCAAAGATGGCTAATCTCATAATTTTAATTGTGCCTTTTAGAACCTCTGGCAGTAGTTCTCACAACTAACAAAGTATATAAGCCCCAACATCTTCTTTACTATTCCCAGGCCATGAAGTTTTGTTGGAGGGAAAAAAAAAAAACAACAACAGATATGTGAATTTGGCTCAATACAAATTCAAGTTATCTAACATTCAAGTTATCCAACTTGAAGTTGCCCTCTAAGCTTCAGAGTGATACTTATATTACTCAAATTGTCTATAATTGTAATTACAAATAATTACAAGTCTCTTCATTTTTCTCAATTCCTTATATTCATGTACCCTTATTGTACTTATTGAGAAAAATCAAGATTATCTAGTGAGATCCCTCTACTTTTCTCCCCACCTCAAAATTTTTCCTTCAGTTTCTGCTTCATCTCGTTATAAAGAAACATTCCCTTTTGTGTCCTGAAATCACTTCTTCAACTGTACCCGGAATCCTATCCCCTCTTGTGTCTTCCAGAATTTTATCCCATTTGTTCCTTTTCTTTGTTGCATTTTTACTCTTCGTTATTTGTTGTCCCTTTCCTCTCTCTATAGCGCTCTCAGATTTCCAAGATTCTGTTTTCTCTTTCAGTTAGCATCCTTGCTCTCCTTTCTTTAACCAATATCCTTTTTAAAAGAATGGTGCTCTCCTATTTATTTTACTTCTTTTTTTTTAAGATTTATTTATTTATTTATTTATACAAGCACTGGGTATGGTCAGAAGCACAGGAGGGTGAGAGAATTCACCAGAGCCAGAGCGGGGAGCAGAACAGGCAGAAGGACCGAAGTACACTGCTGAGGGACCAGCGGGCAGCAGAAGGGGTATGTGCGCCATGTGGGACCCTCCTCCGGTGCTGGGGAGCAGCTGGGGATCGAACCGGCGCTGCAGAGGCTGCGGGCAGCTTCGCAACCCAGCGCTCAACCGCTGTGCCACCAGGGAGGCCCTATTTTACTTCTTGATCTATTTATCCATTAGCTTTTCACATCTGGATTTTACCTTCACAAATACACTGAAACTGTTCTCTCAAATATCATCGTGTTTTCTTAATGATCAAACCCTGTTCTCAAACCGCAACCTCCTTAGCCTTTTGGTTATTTGAAGCAATCTACCATTCCCTTTCTCTGTTTGCTTCAGTTGCTCTGTGTTTACATCTTTCTCTGACAACTGGTCTGTCTGTGGAAATGACTCCTTCCTTTTGTACTCTTAAGGAAGGCAATTCACAAGGTTCTGACCTCAATTTTCACCATTGTGTCTCAGTGATCTCACTCATCCCACAGCTGTGATGATAACTTTACGAGGTTTAACCCCAATGTTTTTATCTTAAATGTGACCTTTCTCCAAGTCATTTTAAACTGCCTGTTGGGCATCCTCCCTTTCATGCACCTAAATACTACTAGTTCAAACAGATCTCAACAATATCCCTCTTTCCCAAACCAACTCTCTTTACCCTCATTTCTTAATCCCTTTAATTGTTCTATCATGCCCTCATTGTATCAAATTGAAAGTTTTAGGGGTACATTTGACTTTTCTTCTTTTAAACCATATCCAATATAAGTTACTAAATCTTATCAAAGCTATTTCTGACAGAATAACTGTCAGAAAAAAAATACCAAGTGATGAGTTTTGAGTTACAAGACCAAACAAAGGCATACTTATTTAAGCTTTAGAATCCTCATTAGTAAAATAATACTAATAACAAAGCTGATTCAATACCTTAAATATCACAATAAATCCTTCTCTCTCAGATTCCCCCAAATGAATTTTTTATCTTCAACCTCTGAACTTCAATAAGAATTTATCTGCATTTCTCTCTCATTGCATCTGTCACACATGCCAAGTGTTTTTTGTTTTCCAAGAAATTGAAAACAAAAGATTTAATATTACCTAAAGGTGATTTAAGCTCCATGTTTTTCTTAAAAAAAAAAAAAAACAAGAATAGTATTAACTTTCTGCCAGTCATTTATGACTGTTATTGTCTACCATTTTACATAACTATTTATAGACATATTTTCCTTCCTGCGAGGAGCTGTAAGCACCTCTTGTTTGGGAGCCTTGTTTTATTTCCTCTCCTTGCTTATTTGAAAGCTGCACATTGCTCTCCCCACAGCAGGAGCTCCACAACTAGAAAATTAATGAAACTTATTAATATCAATTGTATTACATCTACTTAGGACCAAAATTTTATCTTTGTTTCTGGGTCACATTATAGTCCAGAATACATACATCCTTTGTCTGAAATGACAATAAATAGAGACTAGGGAAGATCAGAAACAAACAAACATAAAAAGGTTGAACAGAGGTAACGGGAGAGATGTGGATTGAGATATATTTAATTACAAGGGGAAGGAATAAAGATTAGACAAGTTGGCAGGTGAAGGAGGATAAAGTGGCCATTTAGGAAACTCAGCTTATTATAATTATAATTAAACCAAAATCTTCTCTTGGGAAAATATGAAAGAAGAAACAAAAAGAGTATATTCTTATTTAAATAAAATGGGTAACATATGTAGATAGAATTTTCAAGCTGCTTTGCAAAACCACTTTGATTATGTTTGTTTGCAAAGCAAAATTTGAAGTTTGTTTCCTTCCTCAATAGCCAAAAGTTAAAAGCTTTAAAATGATTATTTTTCTTCAAACCTTTGCTGAGTTCTCCCCTGGAAAAAAAAAAAAAAAACCTATATGCTTTCTTTCGGTTTAACACAGCCATAATAATAAGCCTTTACAAGGCAGGGTCAGTGTTATATAAGTTATATACTTGCATACACACTTATGATTTCTCTGCCTTTGTGTCTACTCTGTGATTACGGAGGATGGGGCTGGAGGAGGCAGTATGTAGGTGAGTCTCTATATTCTAATTCACCTACACCATCAATTGTTCATAGTTTGTAAATGCTTCTCTCCCAGATCTGCATTGTTCAATTTCGGTTCCAACTCTGCAGCTTTGTAACTTAATAATTTGGAGTCAGTTAAGAATTTAGTTTCCAAAAGCACTGATTAATAATGAATGGGGCAAATTTTCCATGACAACTTTTTATTTTGAATGGTTTTACTCCATGAGAGTGTGATTTAATGGGAAAAATATCTGATCATCTATCTATGAGCTAATTGGGGTCCATGACACAGAATTATAGAAAATCTTCATTTATATTTTTAATGTTGAGGCCTATGTTACAAGTTAATATGAGTCCAGGTAAGTTCTTCTTGATATCTCTTTAAAAATGTATTGACATTGGGGCCTCCTTGGTGGGCTAGTGGTTAAGTTTCTATCACCTCTATGGCCTGAGTTCAATCCCCAGCCAGGGAGCTAAACTTCATGGCCCAGCAGACCTCTCCTGTTTTGCCTGCCAATTCTGCTCCCCACTCTGTCTCTGGTGAATCCTCTCACCCCTGCACCTCTGGCTGACAACCCAGTTCTTGTGTGCATAAATAAATTAAAAAAATAAATAAATAAATCTATTAAAAATGTATTGACATTGCTTATATTGTATAAATTTCAAGTGTACAAGAGTATAAATCAGCATATTTAACAAACTTTTTATAAATTAAATTTATATTTTTAATTAAATTAAAGATGAAAACATATGAAAGGTTAATAGCCATGACTAAACTGGAAAAATTAATTTCGTTTCCAGGTTCACTTATCTGTGAAATATAAATAACAAAAAAAACTTACACTGGCAAAACAGAGCAAAAGCAATTCTTAGACTTAGTGAAAAGTATACTAGTTTCCAGAGGGAACAGGGGGAAGGGAAGAGGGAGTAAGGGAAGGAGATGATAGAGCATAGGCAGAGGAGGTTTGGTGGAGGGTGAGTAAAGCAGGTATACTTATGGAGGAATAAAAATACAACCCCAAGTTATATAGACATGTTAATGACTGATAAATTAATTTTAAAATATTTCTTAGCACATCTAAAATAATCATTTCTAGTAAGCTGAACCCTTGTTTTCTTTACTGCTTTGTCTATCCACCTTTCTTAGGGTGACTTTTGGTATATGATAAGTAATCAATAAATATTAATTGAATAAATTACTTAACTTCTCTGTGCTTCTACTTTCCTACTTTTTAAAGATTAAATGGAAAAAAAACATGTAAATTGCATAATACCAAGTATATATCCAATAAATATTAATTCTTCCATTTTTCCATTAATTAAAACGTAAGAATCACTGAGAAAGTGATTTGGGATCTAAATGATTTGCTATTTGCTATATATGTGGATCTACCTTAGGCAAGTACAGCAATTCTCACATCATGAAAAAGAGTGCTGTCTATAAAAAGCACTATCTAGAGCAAATACTTTGAAAGCTAGAGATATCAAGTATGCCATGCCTCAAGGTATGCCTGTTACTTACTTTGTATGTAAAAGAAAAAGAGAAGAAGAAAGGAAAAGTGTAAAGTGATTGGCTGAGTTACAGAAAGGGGCCCACTCTTGTGTCCCAGACCCTCCTTATGTCACTCCTCCCACTGTACACTTTTCAGATTCATTGCTTAAACATTTGATTCCGAAAAAGAAGGAGAAAACAGCTGCTTTATTGTAATAGCATTTTCTTTCATGGATATATGAAAATTCAAGCAAATGTAAAAAAAAATCACTCCCAAAACACACACACACACACACACACACACACCCCTGACAACTTCTACAGCTGAAGAGACATGAGAAAATTATTTTAAAATAAAGAGGTGAGAAAGACACAAGTAGAACAGTATAGACTCTCCACCTCCCTATAAAAGTATTGTGCATTATCCTCATTTATTCTTTGCTTTCCACAGTGGAAGCATATAATCCATTTTATTTTGTAGAAGAGAGTAGGATTGTTTCCTACAATAGTGGAAAAATAAAATAAAAACCAAAGAATTGTTATATTCTTATTTGAAGCGCACTGTTTTTCTTTGTGTAACTTTTGTCCTTAAAGCCCCATAGAAGGACCTTTTCAACCCCCTATTACAGCTAAAGAAGGGCTGTGAATGTTCATATGTTGAAAAAGATTAATTTCTGTGGGAAAATATTTTCTTAAATTTTCCTCAAAATTGAGAAAAAGAACAATGTCTTAGTTTGCAAAACATAAGATTATATATCTTAATAGAAAATAGAGTAATGTGGGGCCTCTCTAGTGGCGCAAGGGGTTAAGACACAGCCTATGAAGCTGTCTGCAGCGACTGCAACACGAGTTCGATTCCCGACCAGCCAGGGAGCAAGTCAGGCGCGGCAGGCCTCTCCTGACTTGCCCGCTGCTCCTCTCAGCAGTGTACTTCCATCCATCTGCCTATTCTGTTCCCTGCTCTGTCTCTGGTGAATCCTCTAACCGCCCCCCACACACACACCTCTGGCTGATACCCCCGCTCTTATATGCATAAATAAATAAATATTAAAAAAAAAAAATATAGGGCCTTCCCGGTAGCGCAGGTGGTTGAGTGCTGCACTGTGAAGCTGTCCGCAGCTTCTGCAATGCGGGTTCGATCCTGGCCGGCCAGAGAGAATCCCACATGGTGCAGCAGACCTCTCCTGTCTCGACCCACTGCTCCCCTCAGCAGTGTATTTTGTCAGTCTTCCTGTTCTGTTCCCTGCTCTGTCTCCAGTGAATCCTCTCACCCTCCCGTGCATCTGGCCTGTACCCTGGTTCTTGTATAAAAAACAAATAAATCTTTAAAAAAAAGAAAATATAATAATGTAACTTTCAAAAGCACTCAGTGTCAGTTACAAAATTCACACACAGTTAACAAGGGGATAGAGACACTTTTGAACTTTTGATTTCTAAGTTTCTTCTTCTTAGTCCATATATCAATAGCAAATCTGAATACACTAAAGACTCCAGCCACTTACATAACAACTGATGTTTTTGTGAAACCTGTGAAAGAACTTTGTTCCTTTTTCCTTTGGTTCAAAGTACACAGAAATCCTTTCTAGTGCTAGGGTGGGGCTATAGAAATAGAAAGACTTTATAACAGAAAAACTTCCATATTGTTTGGAACTGTTACATCTCTGACTCAGAATGCATGAGTCCTTGGTTATAGAATTCAAGATAAATTCAATGCTAATGATTAGAAATCCACTTTAAAACTGAAAGGAAGTCCAACAAACTAATTTCAGGATATCTGACTCACCGTTCTAGTATAAACTATCAAATTCTAAGGAATTATAGGTTGAGACAAGAGTTTGTGTGACATATCTTACCTGTTCAGGATTTTGTACTATGTATCTTCTAACAGTGGTCTGTGGATATGTAGTGACTTTCACAAGTGGAGAATGGAGTTCCTATAAAGAAAAGATAAAAGCTAAATATAAACATAGTTGTTTAATGACTTTGGAACAATCAATAATAATAGGGGACAATTTCAGAGTGAAAATTTTAAAGTCATTAACATGAATGATGATATAAATTTATGTTTTAGTTGATTTCAGTCTCAAAAACATATATGAAAGCATCTATTTATATGTTTAGCATTATACTAAGTATTTTAATTATACTCATTTCATAGTAATTCATCACATTCCAAACTATACTCAATGAGAGTTTCAAAATATTTGTTCCATCATTTAAGTGTACTTACATGATTAGGAGAAAATATAGTTTAATATTTATTAATTGAATCTTCTGTTTGGAAAGAATATCTTATAATTTATAATAGCCTATAATTTATAAAATGGAAGGAGACTGAGAGAGAAAAGTGTGTATATATACACTTAAACATTTAAATATTCAGTATTGGGATGTAAACATATAAATAACATTAAAATGTATGGAGAGAAAACACTAGAAAAACTAATATGTGAACTTTCTTGGAAAAATTTTTTATTATTTTTTTTTGATTTATTTATTTATTTATACAAGCACTGGGTACAGTCAGAAGCGCGGGGGGGTGAGAGAATTCACCAGAGCCAGAGCGGGGAGCATAGCAGGCAGAAGGACCGAAGTACACTGCTGAGGGGAGCAGCGGGCGGCAGGAGAGGTCTGCGCGCCATGTGGGACCCTCCGCCAATGGCCGGGGAGCAGCCGGGGGTCAAACCGGCGCTGCAGAGGCTGTGGGCAGCTTTGCAACCCAGCGCTCAACCGCTGCGCCACCGGGGAGGCCCAAATTTTTTATTATTAATATATAGATTTATATATCAACAAGAAAAAAAATTAACCCTAATAAAGTGGTATAAACAATTTATAAAAGATGGGAAAAATGGTTAAAATAATAACAAAATAATTCAACCAACCTAAAAATCAAAAAACATAACAAAACAATGCTACATTTTAACTGGAAACAAATTTTAAATAGAAATGCTAATGATGAGTGCAATGGGGAGCACTTTTCTATGGAAAGGGAAAAGACTGAATAATTATTCATCAGCTGAAATATACAGCCATTAAAATAATAATGTGTAATACAAATGTACATGAAAAAAATCCGGTGATATGAAATGTTAAATGAGAAATGAAGATATTATTCTGCATATGACACCAATTTTTTTATTAAAATAGAAGAAAACAGCAAAATACTATAGTATCTCTGGGTGGAAGAGGGAATGAGTGATTTTTGCTTTCTCTTCATTATATTCTTTCTTTAGTTACAAAAGTGTTAACTGTAAGAAATAAATCATATAGTAAATCCAATTTTAAACCTTCTCATTATGAAAAATCTCTTAGTTAATATAATATCTTGACAGGATTTAAATATAGTGAATAGCTTTGATTTTTTTTAATGGAAAGGAACTTTAATACAATTAGGAAACAATACAGGAAAGGCAAAGAATCTAGTTTCTAAATCAAGCACCCAAAGTTACCTGTCTCCTTGTGGGTAAAACTCCATCCAAATAGGATTGGCCCAGAGCAAGGCCCCAAAGGCTGCCACAAGTCCAAAGCATCTTCCAGCTTTGATTTAAGTGGAATTATTTTTCTTTGGGTAATCCTAACATTGGTAGTCCCATAAGAGTCCATTCACACCAAATTATAACCTTTATCCCCCTTTATCATACTCTCATATTTTTCTATAATTAATTATTGTTAACTGAGGTAATTCGGGGGTACCTTCATCAGGTATTGCCACCATAGTGCACCCACCATCAATTCACCCATATTCCACTACCAGACACCACTCTGCCTCCTTCCCTCTTTGTTCTTACTCCTTCCCCACACCCTCCTCCACCTTGATGCTTCAGTTCTGTAGACAGCTTGATCAAGGTTAGTTTTTGAGCTTGTCTTTATTCCATTTTTAATTAATTACTTAATATTCTACATATTAGTGACACCATCAAGAATTTACCTTTCTCATTCTGAGATATTTCACTCAGCATTATCCTTTCAAGTTCCATCCATGTTGACACAAATGGCATGAGTTTACCTTTTTTTATTGCTGGGGCATTTTGGTTGTTTCCACACCTTAGCTATTGTAAATAGTGCTGTTGCAGACTAGCATTTGTCCCATATAAAATAATACTACTCAGCAATAAAGAAAGATAAACTCGGGCCTCCCTGGTGGCGCAAGAGGTTAAGCACCGCACTATGAAGCTATCCGCAGCCTCTGCAGCACGAGTTTGATCCCCGGCCGACCAGGGAGATACCCACATGGCACAGCAGACCTCTCCTGTCTTGGCCACTGCTCCCCTCAGCAGTGTATTTCAGTCAGTCTGCCTGTTCTGTTCCCTACTCTGTCTCTGGTGAATCCTCTCACCCCCCTGCACCTCTGGACTATACCCCAGTTCTTGTATGCATAAATAAATAAATCTTTAAAAAAAAAAGATAAACTCGTGCTATTTGTGTCAACATGGATGGAACTTGAAAGGATAATATTAAGTGAAATAACTCAGAATGAGAAAGATAAATAATGATTGGTGTCACTAATATATAGAATATTAAATAACTAAATTAATAGTCAAAACACTAATTCAAAAGAATACCTAAACTCCTATGTGTTTAGCAGCACTATTTACAACAGTAAAGATATGGAAAAACCTAAATGCCCCAGGACACATGAGCAGATCCAGAAGATGTGCTACATATACACAATGGAACACTGTTCAGTGATCAAAAAAGATAAATGTATGCCATTTGTGGCAACATGGGTGGAACTGGAAAGGATTATTCTAAGCAAAGTGAGTCAGAAGGAGAGAGACAAATACCGGATGGTTTCACTTATAAGTGGAAACTAAAGAAACCAAACAAAGAATCAAACAAAAACAAACTGTAAGACCAGCCCTTGAAAACAGCCTTTAGATCTGAGACACCCAGGAGGAGTGGGGCAAGGTGGAGAAGAGTAGAGAAGATGGGAGGAAAGAGCCAGGTGGAGAACAGTGGTACTTTGGTGGTAGGAAAACTATGGTGTCAGCACCTGAGGGAAGAAATCCCATACTATGAAAAAATAAGCAAGGGTGTTTAAAAAATAAAAATAAATAAACTGCACTTTAAAAAAAAGTTATCAGATTGAGCAGATAATGAAACTAAAATATCTCAGTTCTCATTTGTTTCAGCACTTGCTTCACATTCTTTTAATTGACCGAGCTGATTGTCATTTCTGAGATTCCCCTTTCTAGTTTTATATTCCTGATATTTTTTGAATGGGTAAAACCTTACAGAGGCCTAAAGATTGCTTAAACTATGAGCAAAGCTTACATATGAAAAGACATACAGATGCCAATATGCATATGAAAAAATGTTAAACCTCAATATTGTTAGTGAAATATAAATCAAAACCACAATGAGATATCACCTCTTTGCAGAAAAAATTACCCATATCAAAAAGACTGGAAACAAATGTTGCAGAGGGTATGGAAAAAAAGGAACTCTTGTATACTATTGGTGGGTATGTAGGCTGGCCCAGTCCCTATGGAAGAGTATGGAGGTTTCTCAAAAAATTAAAACTACTATATAACACAGCAAAACAAAACTTAGGTATTTATCTGAAGGATATGAAAATAATGCAAAAAGATATTTGCACCCTTTTGTTTATAGTAGCACTATTCACAATAGCCAAGACATGGAAGCAAGCTAAATGCCCATCAACTGGATATATGTATATGTGTGTGTATGTATATATATATACATACACACATACATACATACATATATGTCACATTTTTATCCAGTTATACTACTCAGCTATTTCAAAAGATGAAATTTTGCTTTGTGTGACTACATAGATGGGACTTGAAGTCAAATTATGCCCAGTGAAATCACTGAGAAAGCGAAATTTTAATCCAAAAGAAAAGAAAAAGAATCTAATTTAATTCAAAACTTTTTTCACCTGTTCAGTGTTTTGGGTTACATGTAGACTGCTTGGTGCACAAGTAGATATTTTCAGAGTAGGAGAATGGAGTTCCTGTTGAAATAAAAGGGAGTTCAGAAATTGTTTTTAAGCAGTGTCATTTAAACCTCAGATTCCTGAGGCATTATTTTCTTTATTTTTATAATAACCCAATTGTCAAAAATAAGAACATCACCTAGAGCATTTTTAGAAGACATCCATCTTTGCAAAGAACACATTGTTGAATTCGTTTGTCTGCTATGCAAGCTAACCTAATGATCAAATAATTTCTAGTATGACTTTATAAAAATACATTCCTCTTGTACTTTTAGATAGCATAGTTTCTTTAAATACATTCCTCTTGTAATTTTAGACAGCATAGTTTCTTTTATCTTTGAGAATTTTGCTAAAATATATACAGATATTGTTATAATGTCTGCAATTAATAAGATACAAAAATTATCAAGGCCATTAAATGTAAAAATTCTCAAACCAGTAAACAATCTTTGAAAACACAAATAAAATTACTACTTTTAGATTACTTCGCGGTAACTCAATTATGCTTTGTCTTATCTATGTTTAGATTAATTTCAATGAGTAAGCCCTATTGTTTAAAAAATGATCCATAAAAGTGAGAGTACGATTTTTAGCAATCAGTTAATAAATGGTATATCTATCAATTATGGAGGCATTCTTTGTTTTTGTTTCCTGAAAATCAGCAAACTACAGATATATTAGTATGCAAAGAGTTAATAGCATTATTCAATCTCTTCATACATTGATGTAATTTATAACCAGTTGACACAACTACAGGATATAGTCCCACAATAATAAAAATATTTTTTCTTTAGAATAAAGGCAGTATTACAAATAAGAATCATGAATTTACAAGGAAAACAGTGACAGATTCATAGGGAATAATAGCTATAAAGTAGGTGTAGCATGCTACGTGCTAGTCTTAAAACAGGACTATGTGTTTATTCAAACTGCCAAATGTTCTGCATGCTGTGGTTTTCCTTTTGTTTTATATTTTGCTTCAACTGGTAATATTTTCAGCCTCCGCCCCCTGTTACGTCAATAGCAATACTGCAGGTTTTATGTTCCAAAGCAACCTTTGAATATGTTTGCAGATCTCCTGCTGGTAGCTGAGGAGAATTGCTCAAATGCAGGTAATTAAAGTGTGAACCAAACAGGTACATGTTCTTCTGTTTAGAAAAATGGTTACAACTATAACTAACTGCAAGTGTGTTTGGTTCACATATCTAATAGAAGAGGATTCAAAGAGACAATACAAGGAAAAGGTGCTTTTTAGTTAGGCAAGAAGTACATGAATGCATTGTAATGGAAAAACATGCAAATAAGTAAAAGGTTTTTCCTTAACCATCCTCCCTCCATCTAAATACCTTATCTAGAAGAAAACAATATGCAGGTGTGTCTTTACATAAATATACAATTTAAAAATAATAGTTCTTGCTATTTTTATTATTCTACAAAATAAACCTAACAACATCTCTTATATTACAGATTAGATATGTCTTAGTTCATTATTTTAAATTTAAAGTGTTCTGCAATGATTGTTTGACAGCTTGTTTATCTATTTTCTCATTGACAAACATTTAGATTTTACCACTATGCTGCAATGAACATCCTTGCTTAAATGGGCATTCTATAGAATGTCACAAAGTGGGATTGCTGAGGTACAAAGTATAGTATTCATTTTAACAGATACTGCTAAATTGATTTTTCAAATGGCTATGTCATTTATATAGCCACTAGTGTTGTATAAAAGTACTCATGTCTGGAGAATGTTTTGACTTTTTTCTTCCAGGTTTCCAAGGACTTTATTTGTGCAGAGCCAAGATGGGGAGGGCCTTGTATCTAAAAGTTGTTGGGCCTCTTGGGGGTGAAGCATGGTTTGTGCTGGCGACCCAGGACCTGTGGGAAAGTGGGAACTTGATCTTCAAGTAGTGGAACTGCTTTACTGCTGGCCGGTGATGTTTGCTTGCAGCTCTCTACTCCAACTTCATGCTGTGGATGGAGTGGGTCCGGGCACCCATGTATCAGTAGTAAAGTCCCGTTACTCCCAGTACATATTGCAGGTGCCGCTGCAGAAGTCATAGTGAAGCCAGATGCCAAAGTTCTTCACTTGTAGAGGGGATTTCTCTCGTAGACAATTTCCCCTAAAGACTTCTTCATCTTCAACTGAGACACAAAGTACCAAAAGCGGGACTTAGTGACGACGTGATTAGACACAAAGATTCGCATGTGGTAGAGAAGTGGCATGTGGCATTTGAAATGGGTAGGCAGGCAGCGCCCCACCACCTTGTATTCTCTCAGTGTTCCGGAGGCCTTCCTGGTGTTCTTATTGCACTGGCAGCCACCCACAAAAGGTGGAAAATGTGTTGTTTCTGTTTTTGCAACTTTTTATTTATTATTATTATTTTAAAATTTTAAATTGTTTAAATACTACTGTTTTACATCCTTGCTAGTACTTTGACAGTATAGGATTTCCGCCCATCAGGTATAGTTACCAGAGCATTCCCACCACTGAAACACCTGTAGTTCACCACCATAGTCCATTGAGCTCTCCCCCAACCACCCCCCTTGTCCTCTGAAAGCCACAGATCTATGGTCAGATTTAGATAGTTAGTATTATAATTTGTCTTTGGCTCTTTGTTTAGTTTTTCTATATTCCACTTATAAGTGACACCATCCAATATTTATCTTTCTCCCCTGATATATTTCACTAGCATAATCTCTTCTAGTTCCATCCATGTGGTTTCTGGAGCCTTTTAGTCTAGTTAAGTTAGGCATAGCAATAACACTATGATTTTGCAATTAATTTAATACCAACATTTTGAGAAGATAGTTGGTGCACACTGCCTGTCACCTGATAGATGTTCTAGAAATGGTAATTCTCTCCTCCTCACTTCAACCAATTTGAATCTAACGACATCATCAAATTAAACAGAATGGAAATTATTAACTAAGTGAACTAGCTTTTAAGCTAATAAAAAAGTTCACTGAGAAGTTTTATAAACTTGTAGCAATGAACACAATTAAGAATGCTTAGAGACATATATATATACACACAAAACCAAACTTAGGAGACTTCCAGTAGTATGGGTAGGGTTAATTTGTTCAGATGTCAAGGTAGTAGATGTTTAAAAGGAAAATTATTATATTTGCATAAAAACTAACCTGGACCTAAAGTGAAGAAATTCTCCAATCTACTTATATCTTGGAAAGCTGGTACACTTATTCTGTAACACATAATTTACTGAAATGTTTTAAACTCTACTTGAGCCTTTGTTATTAGACTGGACCTCGGCAAATGTGGCTTTTCCTATACAACTCTCATGGAAACAGAGGACAAATGGATAGCTTTGGGCAGTAAGTATGGATCAAAGAGATTTGACCATCATGAATTTAATTTGTAGCAGTATGAATTTAGATTGATCATAAGGTTAAAAAAAATTTTCTGAATATAAGGTTTACTAATTCTAGAAATCCATGCTAAATATAAAACAAACAAACAAACAAAACCCTTTTCCCTTATAGTCCTCAGAATTAGGTGAGATAAATGTGCAAAATGAACATAGTGTCATCTAGCTCTAGGCAGGATAGGAGCAAGTTTTCCCACAAATTGCCATTGTCCATTCCACAGAAAGTGATAAAAATAATGTTTGTGGTGAATGGATGGAAAGGATGTATTAGTTTAAAGGTACACCAGGAATAGAAATTCTAATGCCCCTCTTAACTTACATAAGTGTATATAGCTTAATTAAATCATTCATATTAAAATTACTGAATTCAAAAAATAGTTACTATATTTTGTGCTTATGCCTTCTGTGCCTTAGCCACATATTCCTATAGGCTGGGGAAGTGATGGTGATGACTCTCATGATATGGCAAGAGTCCTGGATTTGGATCCAGAAGACCTGGGTTCTGCTTCCAACTATATGACCATCCAGTGTATCAGATGACTAATGTCATCTCCCTGAGATTCAGTTTCTTCGTGTGAGAAATAGAATGTGGGTGTGGGTGAGTGTGGATTAGAAGATATTTAAGTTTTTTTCTAAATTTCTGTGACTATATGGGATCATTTTCATCTTGTTTTCCCATACAGACCAAACAATTTCAAATACCAGCCCCACTCTACTAAGAGCTTTTTATGTCAAATATGTTACATGTGTTATCTAACAGAATAACTCTCTGAGAAGGCTACTTGAATCACTATACTTCATTGTACTTCACCATATTATAGCATCCATAACATGTCTTTATATTTACTGTTTTACAAATTGAGGAACATAATTCTATTGGTAAATTTTACTCCTTCTTTTAACAGAAGCTAGATTTTGTCTTTTTATTTACTGTCAAAGACAACATTTGGTGCCTGAAAACAAAAGATTCATCAAAAAGTGACTGTGAGAACATTGCCTAAATATCTACAAATTCAATAGGGGGTTAATTGTAGACTGCAGGATATAATATATTCATAGGTCTCTAAACTCAACAAAAACATTGCATTTTTATATAATACTCATAATCTAAGGCCTTCAGTTTTTCAGGAAGACTCTACTTTTCTTGATCAAATATTCAGTGTAGTATTGAGTTATTTATTGCCATGACTCAAATTTGCTAAATATGTAAATATTCCCTTATAGTCAGCTTTTGTTAGGTACATTTCTCATGAAAAATAACTTTGTTTATAATTAGGCCTCTGGCTTAGTATTTAATCCAGGCCTGTTTTTCCCACACTGCCTAAAGTAATGATTTTCAACTTTGGGAAAGTTGTAGCAGCTCTCCTCCTGAACCACCGCCCTCCTCCACCTTCTTTTACAAAGTGCTTATGACATTACCAATTTTAAGATCAGAGTAGATTAAGATCAGTCTGCTTTTGGGGATAATTTAAATACATCTCTTAAGATAATTGCCCACACCTTAGTATACCCTAAATGAGAGCTGGGAAACTCTAGTTGCCCTAAGGAGAACTCACTATACACAAAACTGAATCTTATTTCTGTTTGTTAAAATAGCTATGCTTTCCTGAGTTAACAAATCATGTGAGA